GCGTATGCCCTTTTACTTTCGGTCTCTCTGAATTGGACTGCTCTAGGTACCTCACATATGAAATCATACACTCTTTGTCCTATTGTGTCTGGCTTATTTCACTTATCATAATGTCCTCGAGATTCGACCATGTCGTAGTAGAATTATCTTCCTTTTCAAGGCTGAATAACTTTCCATTGGATGTATGTATCGCATTTTGTTTATTCATTCATCTGTTGATGGACACTTGGGCTGCTTTCACCTTTTGGTTATTGTGAATAATGCCGCTATGAACATGAGTGTACAAGTATCTTCTGAAGTTCCTGCTTTCAATTCTTTTGGGGATACACCCAAAAGAGGAATTATTGGGTCATATAATTATTGAGTAGTTCTATGTTTAACCTTTTGAGAAACTGCCAACTGGTTTCCACAGCAGTTGCACCATTTTATATTCCTATCAAGATTACACAGTGTTTAACTTCTCTGCATTCTTGCCAACACTTGTTATTTTCTTCCTTTCCTTTCCTTTTTTCTTTTTTCCTCCCTCCCTCCCTCCTTTCCTTCCTTCCTTCCTTCCTTCCTTCCTTCCTTCCTTCCTTCCTTCCTTCCTTCCTTCTTTCCTTCCATCCTTCTAAATAGCCATCCTAATGGATGTAAAGTGGTATCTCATTGTAGTTTCGATATTTCTAATATTTTTAATTCAAATAAACCTTAACTCCCTTTCTCTAAAGCTCTTTTATCTCTTCTTACCTCCTTTCCTGTCCTCCCACCATTCTATTTCAAAGTTGTACAACATGAATCGCTATTCAGAAATCCCACATTTTCATGTTAGTTTATACCTACATGGCTGAGATTTTATAGCATTGCTTGAGCGACATGAATTTTATGTATATGAGAGCAAAATAGCCTTTTAGAAGATTCTGTCCTGTGAGACTTCTCTGCTGGGATCCCAGAAGGAATCTTATAAAGCATCCAAGGGCAGCTTCTGCCCCAGGAGAAACTAGCTCACCAATGCAGACGGAGCTCTCTCTTACCACTGGCTTGAGTGAGTAGCTGGCCTCGTGTGCTTGGAATGTTTCTCTCCAAGGGGACCCTGGAACCTGGGGGTCAGTCAGTACAGCCACATGCTGGAGGGGCTGCTCACAGGGCTGAGGACAGCTCTCCAAATGCACTCTGGCTCTGCCTCTTGGTTATTCTCCTGGCAGAGCACAGAAAGGGTAGAAATTAGCTCTGGGAAGAGTGGAAACGTTTTGAGGCCAGGAGGACTTGGGTGGAGAGAGGGGACTTGAAGAGCGTGGTAGGCAGGGCTGGTCCCACAGGATCATGAAGCTCGGGTCAAAAACGCTGAAGTCTGTTCTGGAGTTTCAGCAGGGGGCATGGACCACCTTGCATGTTAAAAATGTGAGCCGTTCATTGGGAGGGGACCATATAGGAGGCTTCTGCGGAGGTCTGAAAGAGGAGATGGTGGCTGGGACCAGGGAGGTAACTATGGTGATGGAGAGAAGTGGGCAGATTTGAGATACGTGTGGGGACTAGCTATCTGGAAGACATAGTGATGGATGGTGTGGAGGGTTGGAGTGAGGGTATTGACTCAGTAAGTGGTGTGGCCGTGGACTGAGCTGGGTACAATGGGGAAGGTGCAGACTATTGAGTAAGAGGTGTTTGGACTAGAGTACAGTTGGGACGATGAAGGGTTTGCCCAACTGGAAGGCACCCGCGCTAAACCTGGGCCAGGTAGTTGTAGGACCTTGTTTCAGTTTTACTTGTCAAAGCCACTTTTGGCCTTTTGGCCTCAGATAAATTCTAACTATTTGAAATCAAGAAAGATAACTACCATCCAACTCAGCATTCTCTATGTAGTGTCCAGCAACTGGTTGGGTAAGAATGGGCTTAAGTTTGCATCTGCATACAGGTGAATGATGGAGGCGGATAGGAGATTCTCCAGTGGCAGTGGCTTCCTCCAGGTCCTATGGTGGCCTCAGGGTATGCGTCCAGTGAGTGGGAAATGTCAGTGACCCTGTTGTTCTGAATAGATTTATGTAGGACGCCTCTGTGCCCCTTCCCTTTCCCCTCTGCTTGCCCTCTTCACTCCTGGAAGAGATTGCAAAAGGCCTCATGGTCCACAGTTCTCATCTCATGAGACACACTCAAGTGACAGCATCTTAGCTTCTTCCTAATTAGGAAGGCCAGCTTCCCACCACGAGGACCCTGACCCCCTGCCTGGGTCCCTCCGCCCTGCTGCTCCCTCATCTTCCCCAAATGGTCTACACATTCTCAGGGTCTACGACTCACATCACCCTCTTTCCAGTACTAAATTCTCCACAAGTTGGAAGATTATGGATTGTATGGGACCAAAACCTCCTGGATACAGCTCAAGTTGATGCGGGATGTTTGTTAAAAAGTTGCAGAGGCGGAGGAGCCAAGTGACCGCAGCCAGGGTGTTGAGTCCTGCAGCAGAGACCAGGTTGCCAGGAAACGTGCCAGAAGTGGTGAGATTGAGGGAGAGGACAGGGCCAGGCCTATACTAGGGACCCCCAGAGAAATCCCTGCCTGGGCGGTAGCCTCTAGAGGGCACTAGACCACCGTGGGACTAAACCGGAAATGGGGTGTGAGATAGTCAGTTCCGTATGGGCAGGGTCTAAGTTTGTGACCAAAAACAAGCTAGGCAGGAGGACCCACAGACCTAAGCATGCAAGACGAATCATATTTTTAAAAAACCAAAATAAATGCAAAAAATTCATGATGAACAAATTATCGAGTTTATAGAAAGATAAGTGGTTGTTTGTTTTATGACCCTGCACTGTTGTGCGATGGGAAGTTGTTTCCAAAGAGCCGGAAGTTCCCAGGTAGCTGGGCTGTCCCCTGCCTTGTGGCTTTGTGAGGGCTGACAATTGGGTATGCTCAAATTGGGCAACTTGTAGCTTTATACGTAGTCATGTTTTGTGATTGTTGAGCTTTTATTAACCTTTTTCACTTGATTCGAAATACAGAAAAATATTTTGCTAAATGTATATGGGGGCTCACAGGCTCTTAATAGGACTCCTCATGCATCAATCTCAACCCTGGATTCCTTATGTAACTTGCATAACGTACATCGAAGTGGAAAGCATAGATTGAAGTGGAAACAATGCAGACCCTCCCTGCCCGTGCCCCTATTTTGCTCAAACATTTTGCCATGTACAAATGCCTACGTATTACATGGGCAGTCAATAGTGAGAAAATTCTAAACTAAATCATGGCAGGCTAGTGCTATTTACTATAAATGAGTCATTTATCATGTTAATTCTTAAATCCTTTAATATATATCCCAAGAAGAAGTCTGCTTTGGAAAAACGACCAAAGGAATTAGGAGAGAACAAGAAAAAAATAGAAAAACTAAAAGCTGTTTTTTCCAAATTTTTAAAATTAAAATCCAGTTGGCCTCCATAGTGAAAGTGAATTAGTGAGTTACTCTGTCTACAACTTTTAGTAACATAACACCAGTTCCTCTCTACTTTCTCTCTTAAAAGCTTATCAAAGGTGGGAGTTGTAGAGGGATCCTGAGCCTCCACTGGGGGCTGGGCAGACCATACCAAGCCTCCACGCCAAGGAACCTTTGAGACCTCTGATTTCACATCGGTTTCAAGGAAGGAAGGCTGACCCTGCTTGAGTCTAAATGGCTTCCTCAGTCCTTTCTGGTGTGTCTCCAGTGTCTGCCTCTTCTGGGCCCAGCCCCTTTGTTGACTGCTCTGCCAGGTGGCAGGCCCGAAGCCAGAAAAGCAGGCCTCCTCTCCATTTCCCAGCGCCTGTCGGGATGACTGGTTGGGCTCAGGGGTCCCTGGGAGGGGTGCATTTCCGGAAGCCTC